AAGTTGGTCAATTACTTGAGGCATCAACGAGTTAATTGTGAATCTTTCCATAATTTTGGAAATTTGCGAGGTCAAGGAGATCGGTCGCAAATCGTTCTCAATAGATGTGGGAGGAAGTACTTTAGGAATGGGCCTGACAATAGATAGCTTTAGCTGGGAGGGGACCACGCCTTGTGAGAGGGATGAGTTGTAAACATCAGCAATTACAGGAGCAAGTTCAAAGGCAAACATTTTAAGGATTTTGTTAGGGATTAAGTCGGGGCCAGGGGATTTGTTAGTTTTGATCTTACGTAAGGCTTGATAAACCTGACCTGTGTCCACTAGGAAGGAGGCAGGGACATCCAATTGCGTCACTGTACTGTTGGGCTAAAGTGGGCTGAAGTGGGAAGTCAAACTAGTAAAAAACGAGTTTATGGATTCAACAAGGTGTTGACAGGTAGGGTTGACGGGGGTCAACAGTTGGTGGTGCCACGAGTCCCGAGAGGATAGACCACCTATAGACTTAACTTCTTTCCACCATTTCGATGAGTTGCCTTGTTTTAATTTAATTTAATTTAATTTAATTTACAGACCGATGTAGCGTAGTATTTGGCTCGGGCAGACTTGACGTCCATGATAACTTTATTGCGCCAGTACTTGAACATTGTAGAGGATTTACCGTGTTTATAAAGTGCTTTTTGGCGATTACTTATGGAGCTTTTGAGTGAGGGGGTCATCCATGGCTTGTCACATTGTCTTACTTTCGTACGTGTAATAGGCAAGAACTTATCCACCATGTTCTCTATAATGTCATGAAATTTTTGGAATTTCACATCACAGTCATGCACGTGTAGAACGGGTGACTAATCGTAAGAGGAAATCCATTGGCCAAATCTTCGTGAGCTACTATATCTGAGGTCTCTTTTCGAAATAGGTCTATTATCTGGTTTCTGAGGCCTGGGGATACATGGCTTGATAAGAATGGTGTTATGATCGCTAGTTCCAAGTTGAGGGAGTTGTACTTGTTCAAAGAAGGATTTCTTCGCATTGGTTAGGCACCAATCCAGTATAGCATTGCCTCTTGTCTTAACATTGACTATTTGGGTCAAACCGGCAATTCTTTTAACCATTCTTTCGTCAAAGCCCGTGCTTGAAGGGTTGAAATCTCCGGTGATGAGAAGTAAGGCGTCGGGATGGTTACGAAGAAAAGTATCGACATTTGATTGGATGTGATTATATAACTCGACATTTTCGGCGGCGCCGCATGATGTAGAGTGGTAAATGACGGCTAATAAGATTATAGAAATAGATCGAGGCAGACGGGGTGGCCTGATAGACATCCACAATGATTCAATGCCCTGGTCTTCATAGGTACCAAGTCTTTTGCATAAAAATTTACTGTTAACGTAAATGCAAACGCCACCTCCAGAGGATGACAAACGGTCGTTGCGAAAAATTAAATAATTTGCGAGGGAAACTGCTGAATCAGGAATACTGCTCTTTAGCCATGTTTCAGTAATACAGATAAAATCGGCTTTATTGATTTGGGAAACTACTTCAAGTTCATCCACCTTGGGGAGGATCGAACGGACATTCGAAACTAACAAACGTGGAAGGTCAAACTTATCAGGGTTTACCAATGTGGGACACGGTTGGGTGGGTATACTGGAATTTGCATTAATGGTTGTGGAGGGTATGATAGAGGGGGATTGCGCAGGGGGAATAGGTTGGGATTGAACGGTGGTACATGAGAAGTAACCTCTATTCTCCTCAGTCTCGTGTCTAGTGAGCCGAGAGCGCTCTGGAAACCTCCAAAAGGGGAGGTAGGTTCCCGAAAATTGGATTGTTGATGGGAACGGTGAAGTAAGGGGTCGTGAAAAAAATTTTGTTTTTTTGGTGGATAGGGTAGATAACCATTGATTGGAGGTGGTTTTACGAACGAACGTGGAGAGGGTTCGGCGTGGGAGAAGTCACATCTCAGTCCCTTCATGCAGAAACCTTTCCTGCGTAAGAAAGGGCAGAATACACAGCTTTTTGACACACCGGGCATGCGACGGGGTTGGGGGGCATTAATTAAGTTCTGATGGGAAAAATCACAGCGGTCGCCTTTTATACACCAACCGCGGCGCAAAATAAATGGGCATGGTGTAATGCTTTTAGAAAGATTTTCTTTGCTCCGATCTTTCTCTAAGTTGTTCATATTTGGAACATTACCGATTTCACTTGACGATATCTTAGTCGGGGCATTTTGGATAGGAGAATTGACGGTTAATGTATAATCCTTCGAGACTTTAGGCATATACAAATCGTTTCCTTCGTCGAAACAGTGGATAATAGGATTATCGTTTAAAAGGGTCGCAGACTGATCTTTATTTATTTCGGCTGATGAAAATATTGTGTGGTTGTTAGAGTTAATTGGACTGTCATTCCTATGTGATTTCGCTTTGGTTGAGCAGTTTTCATCAGAAACGGGTGAACCATGTCATTGGGGATTAGCAAACAAAAGAAATTCCAAAAAATCAAACTTTGACTTAAGCATAAAATTTTCCTGTTTAAGAATGTCAATTGCTTTATCCTGACTTCTGATTATATTTTCCAAATCTTTTTGTTTTGATTTTATTATCTCAATTTTAGTCAGCATTTCACCGGGTGACATGATTGAAATCACCGACACGCCAAATATGATGACGTAAGGCGTGATTCGATGAGAAAAGTCATGCTTACGTGGCACTTTATTCTTACACACACTCACACATTCACAAGGTCCCGAGTTTTGGCTTACACTCGTTGTACTCTTAGTTGTACTATCAGGTTTACATTGCTCACTCTGAGTGCCCGTCTGCATTACAACGTGCAAATTGCCGTCTTTGTTATGAACGGAATTATCACCACAGTTAGTTTGTAAATTTGGACTGAAAGATAGATTTAGGTTCGTTATCTGTAGATCTCCGTCGTTGCTTGAGTGGTTTAGTGATAAAGGATCATGTAGGGCAGTTGATATATCAGACGATAAGTCCACGATATTATTATGGTCGTCATTGTTAAGCGTTCTAGCTTCGTCCAGCCCGTTGCTGATTAGACATTCTGTGGAGCAATTCTCCGACTTCGAAGATGATAAGTCCCTATCTACACATAGTTGTATTAATTTTTCTCTTAGTAAATCCCCATCTTCTCCATTAAATGTCAGCGAGTTTTGCTTATGTGCATACCATGTAATGACCAGATCCGTGTCCAACAATAAAAATTGTTTAGTAGAACCGCCAGGTGAGCGCCATTTGCCTTCGCCGACGACAAAGCATTCGATAAATTTCTTTAAGCAATCAGGTTCTCCTGTCCATTTCAGTCGCTTCCCGTCATATTCTAAATTTCTTAGCTTACTCCAAACTTTTCCAGCTGATAGAGAGTCGAACGCCGATTAATTGAGACTAAATTTACTTGCTTGAGTAGCAACACCCAACTTGCAACCTTCCATCATTGACAAACGAGTTTCGGTTCGAATAGTTGATAGCTGTTGATATTAGTATGTGCCGTATGATCTTGAAAGTAATGGTTATGGTATATGTAGTCACGTGAAATTATTGGAGTTGATGCTACTCTGAGTGTATCCACACTCGGCAAGCTTCAACGTTTCCTACTGTACACCGATTCTCACCACGCCCAAGCAAATTTTCAGCTTGCTCTGTGTGGACGCACTTACAGAAGCATCATCTCAAATGATTTCACCTGAGTACATACACAACAATCATTACATTATATCATAGTTAATAGTAACTATGATTATATAAAGTGTAATTACTTGAGTGTCTGAACGGATTCCCTCACCAGAAAATTTATAAAAGTCAAAGCCTGAAAACTGGAATTTTCCACCAGTAATTGTGCTTGAAATTTTCAGGTTTGTCGTCGACATAATATGCAGATATACAGTATTTTTGAAATATTCATACTAGTGACAACGTGATCCTGGGCGGATCTACCATGAGGGTACAGCTGGTGCGCACCCCATATGATGGAGTCCAGCATCACTCTAAAAAATCTGCTTGACCATACATTTCTGCTTTTCGAATAGCGATTAGCGGAACTTCTATTGTTAGCGCGCGTTTATTTTGTTGAAACGATTTAAAATTGATTTGTGAGCTCACGAGAAAATACTCAGAATGCTTTACCTAAACATTACTATTAAACATGTAAACAGCTCGAGATTGATATACAGCCATATTTTCAAGTATATTGTACTTTAATAAGCAAACTATCCAGTCACGCATACTATACGTGATAAAAAGCCGATATAAACTGTATAAAGAAAAATAATATAAAACGTATAACAGTACGGCGAACATGCAGATTCGGCTATCTCAAAATAATGGCAATAAGGCTCCGTGATGCAACCCCCCCCCCCCCCATGGATAACCTGCATCCCTCCTTGCAGATGAGGCTAAGTCCGCCCCTGAACTAGATTATCCCTTTATGAAGAAAACAATAATTGCAAAAATTAGTGCATTTATGTATTTAACATATCATTTAGTCACCGATTTCATCTAAATTTTGAAACTGTGCCAGGCTGTCTTTGTGCAGCGGTTCAAAACTCAGGCGGTGTGCGCAATACGACCGCAAAGCAGTATGGGAGCACAATTTACAAATTTGCGAAGGAATGTTAATTCACCTTCAGTTATGGGTAAGTTTAGCATTTATTTTATTCTTATTTCCTCTCATTTTGATTACGTTTTGTATTATTATATCGAAAAGGAGTGTTTGGTGTTAATGTGTGCGTAAAATCATTCACGAAAACTTGATTGTGTCGAAAGATATAGCCGATTGAACTGAACCCATATTTGGCATGTTTCGACGTGGTGTTTGAGTAGCGTTTTTATATTGCCAGAATATCCTTACACGATTAGAAATCAATAGCATTTCCTTTGTATACTTGTTTTTTAAAGCATAAACTATCCAAAAATCACATCGCACCCCATCGCACCTCGTACGGTTTGTCTGCAATTTTTGAATTTATAATGCCCATTTTAACAGGTAAATGATACATTGACACCGTAAACAAAATGGCTACCAAGAGGCGAGAGACGCTTCGAGCTGTCAACTGGCGACAGTTCAGCGAAGCCAAAGTTGGCTTTACGTGAATGTAGTTCGAGGAAGAGCCTTTTCCAAAACAATTTCTCAAAGTTCTGTATCCAGCAGGAATGAAAATCCAGTGTCATGGACTAAACAAGAAACTTGTATGCTATTTATAAATAAATACAGTATATATGTCTGTATTGGAAAGATCCCTGGAACGACAAATGGCCAACAACCAAAGATAAAGAGGAT